TTCGAATCCAATATTCGCCCTGATTATGTTTCTAGGTTTGTTAGGACCAGATCGTGATCGTGGGTTTCAGAAAAGTAGCTAACGTCTCAGACCTGTCTAAGACCTCTCTTCCCTTGATATGAAAAAAACCCTACTTTATGTATTATACAAATAAGTCAATAAAACATTATCCAAACCATCGGAGACATATGCATGTCAGTCTCTTATGTATGATTATCGACAAATCAAACAGTTTGATCAAACGCGCTGTATCAAATTGAAATCTATTCTAGCATTGTTCAGAAAAAATGCTCTTGAATTACATAGCTTCATGGTCAATTACGTTTTTATCTGTTAAACAGTGTATTCTAGAACAGTGGATCCTATTCTCATGACTGATTTGGGAGATAATTATAGAAATCGTAATTTCCTATTTTCCACAGGTTTGTTAACTCTTTCCCAAAAGTACAAATGTAATAGTTTTACATTAACCTAACTTCGTTTGATCGAAGCGTCTGCTTAATTTATCATTTTTCACAAATAATACATTTCAATCGACTGAAATAACACTAAATGTACACTCGATCTTTAATTGTCAAAAGCTGACAATGGTGCCTGACGTACGCGTCCAGATCATAGAGTGGGGGCATCCCAAAAACTGAAAGAGCAATACTCGTTAGGAAATATAGAAACTCATACATCTGTATTTTTTTATTTTAATTTAACACGGCGCAACATGTTATGGAATCCTGGGCCCGTTTCACAAAGCGATAATAGCCATTCGGCTGTCACAGACCTTCGATAGTTGTAATCCTAATCAACACAGGCTTGTGAAACGAGGTCCTGGATAAGATATCGTAACAGCGGAATGAGTCTGTAAGGCTTTTTTGAGTGTACAAAATCCAACCTTAGCCTGCTTTCGTTGAGTTTGAAACTGAAAACGATGGCCGCCAATACGTACGTTGCTATTAACAACATACAATAACCTCCCATGGTCGGAATTCGCTCGGATCTCAGAAAAGATTGTGCTGTTTGAAGTTACAAGAGTACATTCCATTTACAGGCTCTGCGCTGACCCTTTCGCTGGACCATGCAACATGGTGACAGATGATGATAAATGGCCACCGGTGGACCCTCGCATCCGATGCGTTTTTAATTCCAAAAGAGAGAAATAAAAAGCTGACCGCAAATAGATCTATTCATCTTTAAAGAAATAAAGATTTCAATGTAATTTAAAGCTGGTTACTTTTCTAAAATGTTATTGTATATTAACATTTATAGTTCTTGTTTCGCGCTTTTTATCATCCAAAACTGGCTCCCACAGGAGATATCGCTTGGGCGATCTACACTGTAGATATCGCTGCAATGAAATTGCATCACAATGCTTTGCAGACCAAAGACATCACTAATAGCTCTGCTACTGAAGCTTTTAACAGTACCTTTTACACTTAAGACACTGCTTATTACTGTCTACAAACTGAAAAGTTGGAAGAATGATGTTGGATGATAAATAAAATCTCACCCTCGTGTCTTTTGATATCAAATATATCAACGCTCGTTGATAAAAGTGGAAAAAATCCTCGGCAAGCCTCGGAGTTTTCCCACTTTTAACAACTCGTGTTGATATATCTGATATCAAAAGACACTCTGGTGAGATTCTCTATATATTCTCCATTTGTAATGTATTTGTAAAAATGGTCCTATCCTATCTAACATGATAGTTGCGCTGTTCGGTTCTACTGTCCAAAGGTGGGATATTTGGTCTATTTTTAACATCACACGTTAACATGGTCTAGGGCTGGAACACGTGACGAATATCACATGTGCTATAGGAGGACGGAGATTAAACGTTGTGGAATAACTCAGATATAAGTGGCAAATGGGGTGTCAGGGTTGATTTAGCATTAATAATCTCAGCTTTTCTAAGAACATGGTAGAACGCAGACCGCTTGCTTCGCTTAATATTAGAAATATATGTTTATCAGTGCGAGAGGAGACGGGGATGTATTTTTAGGCAAGTTTGCTGTTATTCGGTTTTCTTACACTGGATGTCATTGGTGAACCGTAATGGATAGAAACTTACGTGTCCAGATAATGGCATGGTCGATGGTAACGATGGTGCTTTCCTTTCGCTTAACATTTGCAATATTCAGATCAGTTCCGTATAATTGTCCACAGTCATGGTGTGTTCAAAGAGGCAAACAGTATTTGCATTCTAAGTATATATTATAGTACCTAAACTCTGAAACTAAGCACACGCAAAATAACATGGGTGGCTTTAACTGTCACTGAAGAACCGACGAGGAAAGATACACAACGACGACGTAATTGGTGCCGATGCTTCTGTGTGTGCCAAACCACGGTGCAGATACACCAAGACGTTGAAAAGCATATGTACCAAAAGATGTGAACGCCAGCGAATAATCTATTATCCGCCGCAACAAAAAACAATTCTACTGGACATGAAAGGCAAAATATGGGTGACAATAATATGAATAGATCACTGAAAACAAGTGATGACACCATCCATCGTGTATACTATTGACTTGTACATTTGTAAGGATATCTAAAAAATATGTTTTCTTGCACACTGTTTGCAAGAGAGATAACGATAATTGATCTGTCCCTATGGTAATTATTGTCGTACATATCCCAGATATCAATCTAAACTGACGGCCAAAAGACACTTTACCATAGTTTGAAATCACTCTAGTTTAAAAAACACAACGGATAGAATAGTGAAGTTAAATGTATAAAAATGATCAAAATCTCAACGGAATTGACATTGAAACTGACAGTCATACAGCATCCATTATTGGGTAGAAAAAACAAATTTTCATTGTCATGGACAACATCTGCAATCGCTCAAGTTCAATGACACGTCACATTAACAGCGTGTATGACCACCGCCTGCTACAAGACACGCCAAAAATCTCCGACTCACTTTGGGATACGTCGCCATTCTTCTTGGAGGGCCTGGATCAGTTCTTGTCAATTGGCTGGAAGATGTGGTAGCTGTCAAACACGACGATCTATGACATCCCAGAGGTGTTCAATTGGGGACATGTCTGGGGAGCGTGCAGCCACGGCAACACGTTAACGTTGTTCGCTGCAGGGAAGTTCTGTACGATTCGGGCTGTATGGAGTATGGCGTTGTCTGCTGATAAAGGACACCTATTGGCAGCTGTTGTTGAAATGGTAGGATAATCGGAAGAAGAATATCATCCAGGTAACGCTGAGATGTCAGATTCCCGTCAATGATGACCAGTGGTGTTCTCTCATGCCCACAATTTTTTCCGACATCATAACACCCCGTCCATCACGGCACGACCTCCTGAACGCAACATGTCGCAGTCTTCCTTGAGCCCTGATGTGAGGTGAAATAGGGTTTAACGTCGCGTCCCAGATTATGGCACTTATATAGCGACGTGCATGTGTGTGTGTGTGTGTGTGTGTGTGTGTGTGTGTGTGGCTGCTTGTACTCTGGATTGATGCCGATTTATAGTGCTAGCTCACTGAGATAGTTTAACATGAATACCCCACTCAGAAGCAGTAGACTGGCTTCGAGCTCACCAGTCATTGTCTTAGCCCCTTAATGTCGAGCGCCAGACATGGTAACAGCGAATACCAACTTTGAACGTCTTTTGGTATGACTCGACGGGGATCTGACCCCTGACCTTCCGATCCGCTCTCCGGGGGGACGCTCTACCACTAGACCACGGAGGTGATCACAATAGCTCTGAAAAGACCAGCTTACATCAGTGGAGACGACCCTCTGCCAGTCACGTCGCTGCCAAAGACGTACAGTCTCAATCTCTGACGACGATTTTGCGCTGTCAATAAATGTCCTCTGTATGGCCTGTAAGCCCTAATGCCTTGATCCCTTAGTCGCCTGGTCACTGTCAGAAATCGATTCCGGAGATGAATGTTACCCAAGTGCCGGACTTCATTGGGCGTCGTTACCCTGGATTTGCCTGTTCTTGGCCTGCCTGATGTCCGCCCGGTGTGTCTGTAACCTTCCATCAGGTAAGATACAGCACCAAGGGAGCAACCAAAAAGTTCTAGAAATGCAGGCATAGGTGGCTCCCATCTGTATCACACGCAGAGCCCGCTCGCGTCGTTCGGGCATTTGTGTGGTGTTTTGTGAATGTGAGCGTCTGACATCATTTATATACCCTTATTGCACGTGTAGTTTCGGCTGCCCAAATGTACCGTGGGCGTGTATCACTTTCAGCATAGAACATTGTTAAGTTTGGACGATGTGTTTTGCATTGTTAGTTAATTCCTTTGCAATTTCCTGTTTAAAGTTTCTTTTAGTAGATTTTTATATTTGTGTGTGCTGTGTACTTTATATATGATGTTACATAATCTCAATTTTATCCTCATCAAACTATTTCGTTTCACGTATAATTATCAATACAGTATGCAGATTGTACTTCCAAAGTGCGTAATATTAATGCACTCGATTTAGAAAAATACTGTCGTGTTAATACATAAGAGGAATACTTGTTTATAATATATATGCATCTGCAATGAGTGATGCTACAGTGAACAGTTTATATAAAAAACACTGAGCCCATGTAAAGAGCAAGCTCCCATACAACAGAGGACAACGAAGTCGATGTCCGGGTCCACCCCCATTATATTCTCAAATTACAATCCAAACCTACATTTCATTCTTATCTGACAACTTAATGTCGTATTGTTAAACGAAGGCTTACAGTTTACATATCTGTCATCAAATATGTGTGTATCAGTCCCAAATGGATTATTATCTGTGTATCATATTGACCTCTATATCACATTAGGAAAAGCGTCGCTCTTGTATTACATTAAATTGGCATTTAGAATATCTTTCTGTGAACATGACATGTTTCTTCAATAACCATTCTGTTTTGAGAACATTTAGCTAAGTGACATTCCAACTGTAACACAGAGCTGGACTCCATGCGCAACATCATTGGTTAAATATGTTTCCAACTGAGCGTTACATTTTTATGCTGACGTATTTGCAGAATTGTCTTCGTACCGATTTCGCTCTGCAACTGACACCGGGCCTCAATAACAATGTCTACACAAGACGTCCATATGGTGTAGCTATGTGCCGTGCCTGGTGTGGCAGAATTGGTGAATGTGAAACGTTCTGGTTTTCACCTACAACCTTTGAGTGTGTCCTGACTAAAACACACACCAATCTCTCAAACCACAACGAACTACGAATTCAAAAAGAGGTATTTATACTATTATCATCATCTACTTATGACGTTTATCTCATGCTGCGGTGTATTCTAAGGTTGTTTCTTTCTTTGTTTGTTTGTTGTTTAACACCGCACTTTTCAAACTGTCTACTTGCGTTAGAATCTGATAATGCAGACGCAGGCTGGATTGATGTGGAACATGGGCACTACAAGATCCTATATGAAGACAGAGGTATTTAGTGACATTATATCGAATGGTTGGTTGGTTGGTTTCTTGTTTAACGCCGCACTCAGCAATATTCCAGCTATATGACGGCGGTCTGTAAATAATCGAGTCTGGACCAAACAACTTGACTTGGTTGCTGCATGTCATCGATCCCAATTGCCTGGATCGATGCTCATGTTGCCAATCACTGGATTGTCTGGTCCAGACTCGATTATTTACAGACCGCCTTCATATTGCTTGAATAACAACAAACAAACAAAGCATATGGACAACACAAGTATACTCAGATGTGTATTTCTTTCTGTTAACAGGGCCTTGTTACATGTGAGGGAAAGACTTGCCACACACACGTTGAATGTATAACTTCCAGATCATCAAGAAACAAGTGCGTCAGAGAAAAAGGTATGAGATCTAGAGTACGTACATACCTCATCGTCAGCACCATTCCCGTGCTCGTGGGTTTCACCGAAGTGGTAAACGTCTGAGACCTGCATCACTTCGGGCTTTCCTCCCACATAAAGCTGACACGCAGCGATATAACTTTTTATCAGCCGATCCCCATTTACCTTAAGCAATCATGAGAAGATAGGGACCTAGTCTGACCTTGAATCTCCAAGAGGCCACTATTAGCATAAGTATAGCGCATTGGGTCGAGGTTCAATTATAGTCGGAGAGGCTTCAGTCACCATCAGATCGGTTCTCTCTACCATGTTCTGGGCATACAGATAGTAGGCCCTGCTCTGTATATCCTTTCAGGAACACCATCGGACCTTGGGCTGTCCTAAACAGGATTCTGATAGAACAATGCCTGGAGTCAGACGAATAAGTATGCACATAAGTCATGTTGTAGTTCTTTGCTTTGATACAGAAGAACTATAGTCAAACTAAACCACTTCCACTGTGCCGCTTCATACAACTGTTTTAGAGGCAAGCCATCCGGTCTCGTACATATAGTTAGGTCTAAGAGGCGACGGCACAGAGAAGGAATTCAAAAGGGATGGCCAAGCACATTACTGGCTATCAGTAATAGTGTGTCACTCTCTGATATTACTCAACATCTCTGTTTCAGCCTTATTTGTAATTGTAATTGTGTGATGGTTGTTGTCATGACAGTCAACACTTCAACGATTCACACTCATAAACTGGAATTATCTGCAGATAAATGTTTTCCTATACTTTTTCACATTGTCACTTTTCTTTAATTAGTTGCACACACACACACACACACACACACACACACACACACACACACACACACACACACACACCATAGTCCATCTACCGTGCCAACAAACATACACTCCATGGTAAAGAAATCCGGGCATGAGACATGAATTGTCAGACATTACACAAGTCCGTAGGCTGTGTGTCTACCTGGTAGATTGATATGAACTAAATAGTCTTGCTGGCGGTTGGTTGGCGGTAGTGGACGTCCGTATACACGACGACCATGTTCATCCGAAAGGGGGTTCAAGGGGGTTACTGAACTATCATGGAAGCTTTCGCCAACCCGGCGGTATACTCGAACAAAACCATCAGCAACGCTGAGATTAACCTATAACACATCACTGAAGAGTGCGATCTTCGATAAAGATAGATCACATCACATTACAATTGGTAGATATACATTTATGTGTGACACCAATTGTCCATTTGCCGTGCCAACAAAGCCATGCGCCCACACAGGACACCACATGTCAGACTTCACCCAAATTCACAAATGCAGCTACAGGTTAACACATATTTCATCCTTGCAGCGGGTAGAGTTTTAAATCTTAATGAAAACCAATATCTGTACATTATTTTTATGATCCATCATGTGATTTTATTAGTTAACCCGTTGTCTGACTCATGACTGTCCTGCCTTCCATTCTTCTATTGTATTCTTTAATTTTCTGTGAGCATATTTGAAGACCTTATCGTGTCGATTTCTACGTAAATATGTGTTATTCGTGTTGGTCCAAAATATTGATCTCAGAGCTTGCTACCTGACCGTAACCCAGTGCAATATGACGGCGGTCTGTAAATAATCGAGTCTGGACCAAACAATCCAGGGATTGACATTACCAGCATCGATTCATGCAATTGGGGTGACGATGACATGCATCAACCAAGTCAGCGAGCCTGACCACCCGATCCCGTTAGTCGCCTCTCACAACAAGAACATGGAACATGCTGATTCAATATCAACCAGGTTAAGTGATGAGGTAAATATACTCCTGGATCACACATTACAAATTGTCCCAAGAGTATTTGGTTATTTGCCTGAAAATTTAGTTCAACTAAAACACTTATTGATATTTCATCTTCTCTTCAGGTATCATACTGCCGAAGATCTATCTTGGAAAACGTTCTGGAGGAAACACGACGCTATTCGAGTGGGGACAAAATGCTGACAGAGCGCCTTTGGAAAAACACATATTTCAGAAACAAATCAAGGAAATAAGATACTTTTCACACGCAAACTGTCTACTTGTGTTAGAATCTGAAAATGCAGACATAGGCTGCATTGATGTGGAACACTGGCACCACAGGACCCTATATGAAGACAGAGGTATTTAGTCTATATTCGTGACATTATTACGAATGGTTGGTTGGTTGGTTGGTGTCTTGTTTTACGCCGCACTGAGCAATATTCCAGCTATATGACGGTGGTCTGTAAATAATCGAGTCTGGACCAGAAAATCCAGTGATTGACATGACCATCGACCATACGATGACGTGCATCAACCAAGTCAGCGAGCCTGACCACCTGATCCCGTTGGTCGCCTCTTACGACAAGCATATTCGCCTTTTACGGCAAGAATGAGGATCGTGTGGTCATAGGTGAGATGAAATGGGGTTCAACGTCGCGTCCAAGATTATTGCACTTATATAGCGACTTGCATGCACGTGTGTGTGGCTAATTGTACTAGTCCAAACTGATGCTGATTTAAAGTGCTAGCCCATTGAGATACCATGCCGCAGTTTAACATGAAAAACCCACTCAGAAACAGTATACTGACTCCGAGCCGACCAGCCGGACCTCCCGCTCACTGGGCGGACGCTCTACCACTAGACCACGGAGGCGGTCTGGTCATAGGGTTTTATTGCCCTTCCTGACAACAATTGGTTTACCAAACCCATCTGATGCCACAATGTAGCTGGCTCGTAATTGATGACGACTTGGCGTGCAACCGGATTCACGTATTCGCCGTAAAAGGACGGTAAGCACCAGTGACTTCCTAACTGAACGTCGCCTTGTCAATTCAGAACGTGACCTTGACAATATGTCCAAAGGAATGAGTATTACCAAGTCAAAGCAGAGTGTTGTCTTCAAAATGTTTGGTCGTTGGTTGTTTGTATGTCATCGTTCCGCAAAAGCGTGGATAGGTGCTCACAACATCAATCACTGGATTGTCCGGTCCAGATTCGATCAGCTGAAATATTGCTGCGTGCGGCGTTGAACAACAAACTGACATAATTTACACAAATGAAATTACACTGGCGTCACGGTATACACATGTGGGATACTATTTGTTTTCATGAGCATCACAGCTTCCTTAATTAGCAAAGAATGCAATTATACGTGTGCTGCCTGGGATGTTTGTGTATTGTTACCATGGCCACAATATTCCAGCAATATGAAGCGGCCTGAAAATAATCGCGTGCGTACGTGCGTATTTCTTTGGGTTTTTTTGGTTTGGATTGTTGTTTAACGCCGCACTCAGCAATATTCTAGCCACATGCCGGCGATCTGTAAATAATCGAGTCTGGACCAGACAATCCAGAGATTAATATCATGAGCATCGATCCACGCAATTGGGATCGATGACATGCATCAACCATGGTGTTTCCTTTGAGGTTAACGCCGCTCTCAGCAATATTCCAGCAATATAACGGCTTCCTGTGAATAATCCAGTATTGACAAGACAATCCAGCCATTGATATCATGAACCACGATCCGTCAGTGTACAATGGCACGCCACCAACCAAGTTATCGCGCCTGGTAACCCTAACCACCTCTTACGACCAGCAAGATCAATTATATCCCGGAATCCACATGAATTAGATTATCGAGTGACAGAAGAGCAACGTCCAACGCCGGCGTTTGTTTGTTTGTTTATTGTTCATCAATATTCTAGCAATATGACGGCGGCCTGTAAATAATCGAGTCTGGACCAGACAATCCAGTGATGGATATCATAAGCATCGGTCCACGCAATTGGTATACGATGACGTGCATCAACCAAGTCAGCGAGTCTGACCACACGATTCCGTTAGTCGCCTCTTACGACAAGCAAAGTCGCCTTTTACAGCAAGTATGGGTTGCTGAAGACCTATTCTACCCCGGATCTTCGCGGGTCCCGACGCCGAAGTGCTTGACTTGAAGCTGTAAGGGGTTTTGTGCAATAAGATCACTACTAGTTACAACGTTGTCTCACATACTGAATTCAAACTATTGAAATCTTTTATTTCGTGTTGTCTAAATTTCTGTTTGACGTATTATAATTTGCAATATAGCTCATATAGTGTTTAAATTTTCATCTGCAGATCGAACAATCAACAGGAGATGGGTCTCCATGGCCGTGTCGGTACTCCGGGGCCCTCTCATACATGTATTCCTACTCGGATATGTTGCATCACCACGGGGAAATCGTTCGGACGTAACTAAGTTCCATATCACTAGGGAAGGAAACTGGGAAAAGAAACCGTTCAAAAGAACTCAGAACACCATTGGTGACACCATAACTGTAGACAGTGGAGCCAAGTTAGTTTTACTTAGCAAACCGTGTACTGCATGGTGTACGGCACGCTTAGACCGGTGAATAATAATGATATTAATAATAATAATAATAATAATAATAATACGTGCGGAGGGGGCAAGGGCCCTGAGCTGATGATGAGCCTAACCAGCCTGACTGTGCCAGGATCACCCAAACCCTCTTTGCTGCATTTTTTATTTTAATCTGTAAATAATAATAATAATAACAAGAGTTGCAGAATTTATGACAAAATTAAATCTAAACAAACCCTAACCTTTTTAACCGAGGTGGAACTTGTCATGGAAATTGTAAAAAAAAGAGTTCAGCATGTACCTGACAGACTTGCAAAGTTTGATGAAAAAATATTGAACGGTTTATGAGTTATGCTCCGGAAACGAACCCTACCCTCATAGAACCTAAGTCCATCTTGCTGCCATGGAAACGTAAAAAAAATAAAATTTCTCAAATTTCTAAATAGCAAAAGGCACCAGTTCAGCATGTACCTGACAGACCTGCAAAGTTTGATGAAAAAATATTGAACGGTGTATGAGTTATGCTCCGGAAACGAACCCTACCCTCATACAACCTAAGTCCATCTAGTTGCCATGGAAACGTAAACAATAAAAATTTCTCAAATTTCTAAATAGCAAAAGGCACCAGTTCAGCATGTACCTGACAAACCTGCAAACTTTCATGAAAAAATATTGAACGGTTTATGAGTTATGCTCCGGAAACGAACCCTACCCTCATACAACCCAAGTCAATCTTGTTGCCATGGAAACGTAAACAAAATAAAAATTTCTCAAAATTTCTAAATAGCAAAAGGCACCAGTTCAGCATGTACCTGACAGACTTGCAAAGTTTGATGAAAAAATATTGAACGGTTTATGAGTTATGCTCTGGAAACGAACCCTTCCCTCACAGAACCTAAGTCCATCTTGTTGCCATGGAAACGTAACAAATTAAAAATAAAATTCTAAATAGCAAAAGGCACCAGTTCAGCATGTACCTGACAAACCTGCAAAGTTTGATGAAAAAATATTGGACGGTTTATGAGTTATGCTCTGGAAACGAACCCTACCCTCACAGTACCTAAGTCCATCTTGCTGCCATGGAAACGTAAAAATATTTAAAAATTCTCAAATTTCTAAATAGCAAAAGGCACCAGTTCAGCATGTACCTAGCAAACCTGCAAACTTTCATGAAAAAATATTGAACGGTTTATGAGTTATGCTCCGGAAACGAACCCTACCCTCATACAACCTAAGTCCATCTTGTTGCCATGGAAACGTAAAAAAATTAAAATTTCTCAAATTTCTAAATAGCAAAAGGCACCAGTTCAGCATGTACTTGACAGACCTGCAAAGTTTGATGCAAACATATTGAACGGTGTATGAGTTATGCTCCGGAAACGAAACGTGACGGACGGACGTACGGACGGACGGAGCCCGTTTCTATATCCCCCGACAACTTTGTTGGGCGGGGGATAATATCATTAATTTTGGTGCTCTTAATGATAGAATTGTTTTGTGCACTTTTGCACACAATTATTTGTCTGATGATCCTCTTGTTAAGCATGTCAAGACTTGATTTTGAAAAGGCATTCCAAAGTTTTCTAAAACGAGCCAAGGATGTGTGATAATCTCAATGTCGGTGTTGATTTTGTTGATGGTTCTGTACTGCTGGAGTGTCAACCAAGCAAAGGGCCTTATCAAGTCGACCCAGGCTCAGTTTCTAAAGGAGCGGCTTTCTGAACGACCACTGCATTGAGTTTATGTGCAGTGTGTTGAGAAGATCAGCAATCCTGCAGAGTCTTTCGCTTGGATGAAGTCGTCTGGCGTGAAAAGTGAAACAGAAGGCTTTCTGTTTGCTGCTCAGGACCAGTCACCTCTAACTCGAAACCGTCAATGTGTGATTTTGCATCCAAATGTGAATATGAAATGTAGAATTTAATTGATTATGTAATGAATCTAATGAGACAGTCCAACACATTGTGAGTGGATGCCCAGCTTTGGCACATACACAGTATCTCAAGCGACATAATGGGGTGGCTCGATCATTTTATTACCGTCTTCGCCATGCTTGTGGCTTTGACACAGAGGTGCATCCATGGTACGACCCGGAATATGTAGAGGGCGTCATGGAAAAATGATAAATACAAAATCCTTTGGAATAGGCCCGTACACAGCCTCAGACATTGCATCCCAAGTACCAAGTTGTCCGACTCCCCATTGATCTCGGTGCCTTAGGTTTGGTACCTCCCAATCTGTTGACTGACATTGGGAGAATACTCGGGAATACAGCCCTTCTGACAATCTGGGTAATGCAGAAGGCTGCAGTGTTGGGGAGTCTTCACATTTTCCGAAATGTTCTGGGTTGGTTTGACAAGGCATAGCTTCCTGGGAGAAGTCCCATTCGCTGTCTGGGCTGCGTGTAGAGGGGGCAAGGGCCCTGAGCTGATGATGAGCCTAACCAGCCTGACTTTGCCAGGATCACCCAAACCATCTTTGCTGCATTATTTATTTTATTCTGTAAACAATAATCATAATAATTTTGATTTAGTTAAATTCACAGGACGGTGAGACAGTATAGTAGCCATACAAACAGGCAGTTTCGGTATATGTATCTATTTTAGCAAATAGCATAGACTTGTTTGGATATTTTCATTTTTGTTACTAATGATATGTATTAAATTGTGTTGGTTTCTAAATTATGTACATGAGGGGTAAAACAAGTATTTTTTACATCATTTTAATAATTTACAACAAAAAAATGAATTCGATTGACCAT